ACAACCAGATCTCAAGATTTTAGACAGCTTAGACCTTTGGTGTGAAACCTTCAGCAGTGTTTTTCCTCCTCTTTCTTGGTTTGCACTGAAAGCCTATAGGTAGTTGGAGTTGGATGTTTCCAGTCTGCAAGGTCATTTAGACTCCGGTAAACCTTAAGGTGCTTAAGCTGTGGTAAAATATTTCTCTTTAGGGCAAACTTTTATTGAAGACAAGTGAATATTCTTGGTGCATTTCAAAATGTTTATTTTATTCTTCCTCATGTTAGAAGCACAAGGGGATTTGTTTTCAGTCCCCTCCCTGAGAGCCTCTTGGGACCGATGGAGGCAAAACTCATGAAAGTGTGGAGGTCTCTGTGAGCTGGAATTTTTTAATATTTGAGCTTTCTTATTGTGAGGCCTCAACAGATTCTAAGTTGCAGTTTTTTCCTACTGGTACTAGCTCCCCTGGCAGGCTCTTGTTCTAGGGCTTCTGCTCCTGGTAAGCAATAATTCTCCATATCCACCTTTTTTTCCCTAAAGTTATGTGGGCAGCAGTTTTCCTTGAGACCTCAGTTGTCTAGTGAATCAAAGAAGAGTTTGTGAGTCTCAGTTTGTTTACCTCTTTTCCTGTGAGGACAGGAGTGACAGCATCCAAGTGCCTTTCATGTTGGACTATAAACCAGAAGTTCTCTTTATCTTTTTTATTTCTTAATGGTTCTGTTACTGATTTTTCTTGTGTTCAATTGACTATAAAATAACATTTTGATTTTATTCTCATTTCCTTTTCTGAATATATTCCAGTTATTTTCTTGGCAGCTATCCTGAGTTTTACAGTTAATAACTTGAATATGTAACTGTATAGTTTGAATACTAGCCTAGTTTGAACAGTGTACCAAAACTCTGCTCCAGTATAGTTTGTTCCTTCCTCCCTATGGTGTTCTCAGTAATTGCATTATTATACATTGTTTACCACTAACATAGATTTATGATTATTATCTTATGTATTTCTTTTTAATCATATACATAAAAAAGTGAAGTTAAAAGAATAAAAATACAACAATATTGCCATATGTCTGTGGAGTTGACTTCACACTATTCTTTATTTCTTTGCATAGCATTGAATTACTGTCTGTCATCCTGTTATTAGCTAATGTTGCAAACGTTGTGGTTGGAATATTTTACTTCTTCATTTCTGAAGGATACTTTTCCAGATACAGGATTCTTGGTTGGAAGTTTTTTTCTTTTAACACTTTAAATATGTTATCTCACTGCCTTTGACCTCATGGGTTTTTTTGTTTTGTTTTGTTTTGTTTTGTTTTTTTATACAAGAAATCTGCTATTGGGATGCCTGGGTGGCTCAGTCATTAAGCGTCTGCCTTCGGCTCAGGTCATGATCCTGGGGTCCTGGGATCGAGTCCCGCATCGGGCTCCCTGCTCCGCGGGGTGCCTGCTTCTCCCTCTGCCTCTGCCTCTCTCTCTCTCTGTCTCTCATGAATAAATAAGTAAAATTTAAAAAAAAATCTTTAAAAAAAAAAAAATCTGCTATTAATCTTTTTATGGACTTATAATAAGTGACAACTTCCTTTTTTTCTTCTCTCTCTTTCTGCTTTCAAGATAATTTCTTTGACTTTGATTTTTGACAGATTGGTTATAATGTGTTTCACTGTTAAATTCCTTGCCTTTATCCTACTTGAATTCCATTGATCTTTTTGGATATGTAGATAGTGTCTTTTATCAAGTTGGGACATTACTGGCATTAATTTTTCAAATGTTCTTTTAGTTCATTTCTTTTTTTTTCACCTTTGACCCCCATTATGCATATGTTGGTACCCTTGATGTGTCACAGGTCTCTTAGGCTTTCATTTCTTTTCCTGACTTTTCTTTCTGCTCCTCTAACTGATAATTTCAGTTTACCTATCCTCAAGTTTACTGATTCTTTCACAAGATCAAATCTGTAATTGAAAGCCTACAGCATTTTCATTGTTGTAACCATCAGTTCCAGAATTTCTTTTTGGTTTCTTTTTATGTCATCTTTCACTTTATTAATATGTTCTGTTTGTTGAGAAATCATTTTCCTTTTTGTTGTTCTATGTTCATTATTTCCTTTAGTTTTCTGAGTATATTTAATACAGTTGATATAGAATCTGTCTAGTAATTCCAATTTCTGTGCTTCCTCAGGGATAGTTTGTTTTTGTGTTTTTTTGGCTCTTGGTTCGTACTCTTCTTTCTTTACATTCCTTATAATTTTTTTTGAAAACTGTACATTTTTATTATTCTTACAGGTAGTAATCATGAAGTCAGATTCTTCCACCTCTCTTGTGTTTTTGTTGCTCATGTGGGTTGTAGTTGTTTGTTTGGTGACTTATCTAAACTACGTTTGTAAAGACTATATTCGTTGTTGTATGTGATCTCTCATGTCCTTTAGCTTGATGTTAGCTAATGTTCTGATAAAAGATTCTTTAAGTGCTATGCGTAAGTCAACAGAAGTTGACTCAGCATTTTCTTCATTGATGTAAAAATGAGGTATTTTCCAGAGTTTCAACAAACTTGATTTTGACTGTTTTGGGTCATTTTTGTCAGCATTTCTGTGGTAGGATGTGGCTTGAAGTATCCTACTTTACCACTTTACAGCTGTCATTTTTGTCTTTTTCATTTTTAAATTTTGTAGAAAGTTTCATATAAAAAGATAAAAAGAGTACATAATTTCATATAAGATGAGCTTTGCCGTCTAGCCTAAGTAAAGCAGGTATATCAAAGGAGGCAGGGGTTCAGAAAGAAACTGCTCTGTCAGATCCAGAGAGCTAATTGAGTGAACTGATCTAGACAGCATAAGTGTTGTGTGGTTTACCTAACACGGTATTGGGCAGCAGGGGGAATATACTTGCCTGTTGGCTCTTACTACCTTTAGTACTGAGTTATAACTTAAACATTCTAGATGTTAATGACTTGATTAATCACTGTCTGTACTGCTTCTAGAGTCTGGATAATTTCTGTGGATTCTCTGTTATTGTTTCCAGCAATTTTGCTTTAGTTTAATACAGAGTAATTTTTTTAAAAGATTTTGTTTATTCATTTGAGAAAGAGAGCTAACATGAGCAGGGTGAGGGGCAGAGGGAGAAGCAGACTCCCCGCCAAAGAGGGAGCCCGATCATGACCTGAGCTGAAGGCAGACACTTAAACGACTGAGCCACCCAGGCACCCCAATAAATAGCATATTTTGATGGATTTTTAAATTTGCCTTAAACTTTTATACAGATTCAAATTAAAAACAAAATTGTGTATCTTCATAATCTGATCTCATAATCATACTATGATAAATTGGTAGACTCTGGTCTACCATCTTCTGAATTCATAATGAACAGTAGTTTCAAAAGCTTACGTTAGGTAAATAATATTTTAAATATTTGGCTACATTTTGAAAATGCTTTCTTTAACGCCACTGTATATTTTTGATAACATAAGTCTAGAGATTTTGAATTTCCTGGGTCTATTTTTTAAAGATTTTATTTATTTATTTGACAGAGAGAGAGTGAGAGAGCACAAGCAGGGGGAACAGTAGAGGGAGAGGGAGAAGCAGGCTCCCCACCAAGCAGGGAGCCCAATGCGGGCCTCAATCCCAGGACCCTGGGATCATGACCTGAGCCAAAGGCAATGTTTAATCATCTGAGTCACCCAGGCGCCCCTCCTGGGTCTATTTTTATGATGGTCTCATTTTTAAAGGATTTAAAAAATAGTCCATAAAAAAAATACTTTTTTCCAAATCTATAGTCCTGCTTGGAGATCTGCTTCAGCTTAACATCTGTTCTGTTTGATTTTATAAAATCACTCTGATGTACTATATTGTCTTTTTTGTGATGTTTTATAATACTTTATGATATCAGTTCAGATGGCAACAGGGAAATTTCATGATGTGTACTGGTTTGGGGAGATAATAAAAAAGAATATCACAATAATGAAGATTTCCCAGTATTCTACAAGTGTATTCTGCATTATTAATACTTTTATGGTCAATTTTATTATCTTCATATCAGTGCTTATCCATCTGACATATATAATATCAGGCAAATGTTGATAATATGAGCAAGGATCTATATTCTCATAGAGAATTTGTGGAAAGTAAAATAGTCATGATTGCTTGTGGTTATAGACAGCTTAGATTGTTAAGATTGACATATTTATATTTTAAATCATATTTTCACAGCTAGAAAGAATGACAAAATCATAATATTTAGCCCTTGTTTTACAGAGCAGAGACTGGGTCTCAAAGAGATATTAAATAATGTGCCAGTATTTATTAGTGCTAAACCTAGGGATAGAAATCAGATTTCTTTTTATATATTTTGATCAATAGTGGGAAGTAGCTGAAGGTTTTAGAACTGTGGTAATTAAGTTGATGAAATAATTTAGAAAGATTATTTAATGGAAATCCTTAAGTCATCTTTTTCAGATTTCCTCTTTGATTTTTATTGTCTCCACAAGTTTTTATGTCTTCCACATTGTACAGTTAAGTGGTGTATAGTTATTCCTAGTAGCCTCTTAATGATCCCTTGAATTTCCATGTTATCGGTTGTTGTATCTCCTTTTTTATTTATAATTTTGTTGGTTTGGGCCCTTTTTTCCTTGGTTAGTTTCACTAAGGGGTTATAAATTTTGTTTACTTTTCAAAGAAGCAACTCTTAGTTTGGTGAAGCTTTTCTATGATTTTTCTGTTCTCTATTTCATGTGTTTCTGTTGTAGCCTTTATTCTTCTCATCATTATCATCATCAGGCACTGTTGTTATTGTTACTAACATTATTATTAATTCTTAGGTTCACTGTAATAGTGAGGTTTTCCTGATTTATATAAAACAAATCTTTGGCTTAGATTTATAGCTGAATAGTATAGTTGAACATTAGGAAATTGCTTAATTATTAGTGGAAGAGAAATATTAGATAAATGACCTGTTTTATATTTCAAAAACCAATTTTCATACTGTGATACAGACTTTGGGCCCTTGATAAAATATAATGTATTTTCTCAGTTTCATCTCTAGACACTGAAAAAGGACCTAAGCCATGTGCGGACCATAGTTGTGAATCTTCCAAAAGACTGTCTAAGGTATGTTATGTGAGGCTGGAGAAATTAAAAAAAGAAAAAAATGAACATGCTCAGTGTGTAAGTAAGCATCTTAGCTATTTATTGAACACATCAAATCCACCCCCCCACATTTAGGAAATTCAGCAGTAAAATAAAACTTCATCAAATAACAAATGACAAGAACGTAATACAGTTAATATTTTTATGAAATGCTTTAAAATTTAGCATTTGTAACTCTGTTAAGAGAGATGATTTTTCTTTCTTTGACCTTATTTGCTGTTCCATGTTAATTTATAATTACTAAACAAGTAGAATTCTCTCAGTGTTACTGTTACCCATCCTAAAATTATAAATTTGATCTACCATGTTTGTTAACCATTTTCATATTGCTCTAAAACCAGCATCCTGTGTCTGTGTTTAAGGCAGAAATTAAGCTGAAGCTCCCAGCAGCAGTCCAATTTAGTTTTCTCTTTCATGTTATACTTCACATACTGTTCACACTCAGTAACTTCCTGCAGTGTTGTGTCCTGTCTCTGATTACTCCTCGGTGATAAGAAGCACTTTGTAAGAAAATGTTATTTTTAAATACTTGGAATTTAAGATTACTTACATTATGATAATTGTCAGAATTTCCTTATGAAGGTATAGGTATTGCATATTCAGGTCCACACCCATTACTTTTGCCAGGTGAAAATGACAGGGGAATGACTTCTTTATTTGTGCCCTGTAAGCCTCCCAAAATTTAGCTACATCATCAATCTTTATGTTATCAGGTATTTCCATTTAAAAATTTTCCTTAGGAGTTACCTTTCATCTCTGAGGTAGTTTTTTTTTGTTTGTTTGTTTTGTTTTTTAACTTTACTTTGGAAATACAAGTTATGTTCTGGGGCACCAGGAACAGAGAGCAGTCAGTCTTATTTTTTGATTACTGTTTCTTAATCCATGGTTATTGTGCTAATCATCTTTAATTAATAGCACATCTTTTAGACTTCTACCAATTTTCAAACTTTTAAATGGTCATAGACCTTCAGCTGATATAATTTCTTAGTGATGTGGGAATGTGTGTTCAAGCAGAGGAATTAGGAGTAAGGAAGGAAACAGAGACATTTTATTATTTTCCTTCAAGGTGATCTCATGCTGGTATCCATTTGTAGTTCCCTTATATCATTTAATATTGAGAATCAATTTTATTTGTACTTCTTATATGAAAACAGAAAAAAAAATCAAATTCAGCATTCCATGAAACTTGCAGTAACAAAGGTCTGCAATTTTATTAGCTCCTTGAGAATGTTACATGGCTGTATTAGGTTGCTTAACAAACATTCTGCCCGTGATTTTTACTGTCATTTGGATACCTTTTTTGAAATTTTTTTTTTGCTATACATCTGTTTATCTGCATTTTCTCTTCTGCTCTCCTTCCTGTTCCCTTTCTTTCTTTTCTAGGCTTCTGGGCATAAAATGGTCTCTTTTTGCCTATTATGTTAAAGTATTTTTCTGGTTGATGGAAGTGTAATAATAGTTAGCATAATAATAAAAAGAATTCAAAATCTCCAGAGCAGAGTATTTTCACAGAAGCATTCTGGGGACTTTGATTTACAAATCTGAAAAATTATTTAATATTATCTGCTTTATTTTTCATTTCATTCAGTTTTCAACTTTCGGGTCCTTTCATTTTGTATTAACTCTTATTTATTACTAAATACACTTTAAATTTAGCAAGACCTAAGTAAGTGGAAATGTTCCCCCAACTATGTTTTTAGCAAGATCTAAGTAACTTGAAATGTTCCCCCGACTATGGTAAATTCAAACTTATTTTGACATATTTGTCCCAGTGGAGATATATCTTAACTCTTTGAAGATTTGATCCAAATATGTTCTATTTCTTCTTAAAGGTACTGTGTTTTTCCACACTTCTCTTCCAGTGATGTATTTGTCAGCCCATATGCCATCACCTCACTTTGTTCATGCCGTGTACCTTTACAGCAAATCTAATGTCAAGTTGTATAACTATTCTATCTTGGTTCCTTTTCAAGATTGTTCTAGATGTTCTAGGTCCTTTTTATTTCCAGAAGGTTTAAAAATCACCATGTCAGATTTCTAAAAACAAACAAAAAATGCCCTGGATTCTGATAGGAGTTACCATGTATCTATAGGTCAATTGGTGAGAAGTGATATTTTGATAATATTAAGTTTTCCAAAACCTAACACGTTAGTTCTCCCCATTTATGTAGGTTTAAAAAATTCACCTTTTTATTTATTTTTTTTGGCAGTTTTTAGTTTAAAGGTCTTGCACATTTTCTGCTCAAAATTTATTCCTAAGTATTTTGTGGATTTTTTTTTCCTAGTGCTGTCTTAAATGGATATTTAAAAAATTCATTGACCAGTTGTTTCAATTTTTAATAGGTGCTTGCAAGTTGCATATTTGCATATTGTATTTATAGCCACTTGTAAAATTCATTTCTTACAGTAGTTACTTTAAAGATTACTTAGGATTTTTTATGTAAACCATCATGTCATATGCAAATAAGAGAGTGTTTCTTTTTTTTTCTGATTTTTATGCCTTTTATTTCTTTCCTGATTCTGTTTGAATCTACAGTATGATGTTGAATAGATGTGGTGAGAGTTGATACTTTCTTCCCTTTATTTTCTTGTTCCTGATCTTAGGGGGGTAGCATTTAGGCTTTCACTATTAAGTATGTTGTTAGCTCCAAATTTTCATGTCTTTTACCAGATAAAGTAAGTTCCCTTCTGTTTCTAGTTTACTGAGAGATTATGCTATGGATGTTCATTCATTTGTATCAAATGCTAATTCTGCCTTTATTGAAAAAACCCACATGTGTCTTCATTATAAATTTAGCAGAAAATATGCAAGACCTTTAAACTAAAAGCTGTAGTTTGTTTTTTATCCTTATGAAATGTCCCCTTTAATTCTTGCTCTCAAATTTTATCTGAAATTAATGTTATTAATTCAGTCTTCCTATGCTTACTGTTTGCAAGGGATATGTGTTCCTAACCATTTAATTTCAATTATCTCTCTCTTTATATTTAAAATGCATGTTTCTTGTAGACAACATATAATTGACCCCTTTCTTCTCTCAATAAAAAAAATCTTTAATTGGAGCATTTATTCCAATAAAATTTAATGTAATTATTGATACAATTGGATTTATGTGTACTATTTTACTATTGTTGCCTAATTTTTTTTCCCTTTTTCATCCTTTGTACTTTTAGAGTTTCATTTTCTCTATCTACCCATTTATTTGTTTATATTGAGATAAAATTGACATATAACACAGTGTTGGTTTTAGACATATAATGTATTAGTTTTAGGTATACAACATAATGATTTGATATAGGTATATATTGCAATGTTATTACCACACTAAGTTAATATCTGTAAACACACAAAGTTGCACATTTTGGTATGCGATGAGAATTTTAAGATCTACTCTCTTAGCAACTTTCAAATATACAATACAGTGTTGTTGACCAGAGAGACCGTGCTGTACCTAACATCGCTAGACTTACTTATCTTGTACAGTTGTCCCACCGTACCTGCAGCTCCACTTTCCATGGTTTCAGTTACCCATGGTCAGTTACAGTCCAGAAGAATATGATCTTCCTTCTTTTGTTTGTCAGTAGGTCAGTATTAGCCTAATGCTGTGTCACAATGCCTGCATTATTCACCACACTTCATGTCATCATGTAGACATTTTTATCATCACACAAGTAAAACAAGGGGGCGAGTACAGTACAATAAGATATTTTAAGAGTCAGAGATAAAAGAGACTGCATTCACATAACTTTTATTATCGTACATTATTATAATTGTTCTATCCTGTTATTGTTAATCCCTTACTGTGGTATACTTTATAAAATTTAAATTATACCATAGGTATGTTTGGATAGAACAAAACATGGTATGTATAGGGTTGAGTAATATTCACAATTCTCAGGCATCCACTGGGGGTCTTGGGACATACCCTCCATGGTTGGGGGGGCGCTACTGTAACTGGAAGTTTTTACCTTTGATTACTTGTTTCTTTTTCATTGCTGACATGCTATTTGAATTTTTTTTTATTTAAAATCAATTAATTAACAGTGTATTATTAGTTTCAGATTTAGAGTTTAGTGATTCATTAGTTGCATATAACACCCAGTGCTCATTACATCACATGCCCTCCTTAATGTCCATCACCCAGTTACTCCATCTCGACCCCCCCCGTCCCCTCCAGCAACCCTCAGATTGTTTGCTAGAGTTAAGAGGAGTTTCTTATGGTTTGTCTCCCTCTCTGATGTTGTCTTATTTTGCTTTTCCTTCTCTTCCCCTATATTCATTTGTTTTGTTTCTTAAATTCCACATTATGAGTGAAATCATATGATGTTTGTCTTTCTCTGACTGACTTATTTCACTCAGCATGATACCCTGTAGTTCCATCCACATTGTTGCAGATGGCAAGATTTCATTCTTTTTGATGGCTGGATAATATTCCATTGTGTATATACACCACATTTTCTTTATCTGTTCATCAGTTGATGGACATATAATGACTCTTACTACATATTTTGCCTTAAAATCTATTTTGTCTTATATAAGTATAGCTTTTCCCACCTTCTTTTGGTTTCCATTTACATGGAATAGCATTTTCTGTTCCTTCACTTTCTTTTTTTGTGTTTCCTTAAACCTGAAGTGAATTTCATGTAGACAGCATACAGTTAGGTCTTGTTTTGTATTCAGTCAACCACTCTATGCCTTTTGATTGGAAATTTTAGTCCCTTTACTTTTCAGGTAGTTAGGTATGGATTTATCAGCATTTTGTCATTTGTTTTGTGGCTTTTTTTAAATTCCCTTTTTCCTTTCTTTTTCTCTTGGTCACTTTCTGCAATGTTATGTTTAGATTCTTTTCTCTTTATCTTGTGTGTACTTACTATAGATTTTTGCTTTGTGGTTTACCATGAAAATTACATAAAATATTTGAGTTATAACATTTTATTCACATGAATTCTGAAGCTTTATACTT